TAAATAATAAAAATGGATAGGGCACGAAAAACGAAAAACCTAATAGCTATATAATATTACTCATGGTATCTATCTCGATCCTAACATTCAAAATTCCTCATCTTATTTAAAATAGGTTAGGTGTGGCAGTATCACATGTTAATTGTTAACTAATAATTAACTTTTTTACGACCAATGGCAAAATATTTTTTTATTTTTTTATTTTTACTCAATTCTTAAATACTTTAATTACACAATTTCTATGAATGAGAGAACAATAATTATAAAAAATATATTTAAATATTAATAATAATTTTAATATAAATAAGATATTAATTATATTTAACATGGGCATAATGTTTTTAAATAGACAAATAAAAATGAAGTATAGTCTTTCACAAATTATTCAAATTCTTTACTCTAACTCAATTTTAATAGAAAAAAACAACTCAATTTCAATAGCTTATTAATTATTTGAATTTGTAAAAATAAAAAATTAAATATAAAAAAAATAGCAAGAGCATGTTTGATATACTACAATTTAATTTTAAAAATTAAATATTATTTTTAAAAATAAATCAATTATAATTCGTGTTGCAAGATGAAACTTAATGAAAAAAAAGAAAGAATACTCATTAGCTAAAGAAGTATAGAAAAATAAGTAATAGAACTCGAGACATTTGAAACAAATAAATAAAGCGAATGTTATTGAGTGAAATCACTTATTATTTTGATGCCTTAAGTACATGTCATCTTGTTTTTATAGTCATTCATATATATATGCAAATAAAACTTATATTTATTACATAAACACAAATAAAAGTCATTTTTCATTAGATAGGAGCAATAAGTCCTAAGCCTTAACTAAAATCCATTATGCTGAGAAGGAGAGTAGACATTTCTTCCTTTATTTGAGAACAATTTAATGTATGTTCCTAGAATAAGTATATTGATCTTTGCAAAAAGTTGGATGCTCCAGTTAATCTTTGTTCTTGTGAACAACTGATATTGCATTACACATTTTGAGAGTACATGACCTCTGTTTCTGATGCTTTGCCTCTACCTCAAGTGTTTTAAAGTTGCATCATGCCTTATTGTATGCTTTGCTTACAAAGAAATCAATGTAATTTTGTTTTATTCTCTTTGTTGACTTAGATTTCCTAATATTGCTCTTGGTTAATGTCTAAATCAATTACTTTACTCTTAAGTAATGCCATAATCCTAATTTAGAGTAATTACTAGAATGTCATGCCAAACAATTGCCCCCTTGTGCCCATAAATTAAGTTTCACATGCATGGTTTCCTCTGAGCATTTTTTTCCTTTTGAAAACTTATATTTGTGGGCACAATTTCCTATTATATAACTTGATCTTTATATTAAATGTTTGGCACTAATTTCATTAAATGGTTTCTAAGTATCTTTTGATTCTTTAACTTTTTAAATTCTTCACTTCTTTGGACTGACGCTCTTGTCATGTGTTGGGCTTCAAATGCAACATAACATTCTAGAGCGTTCTCGCTACAGCAAAAGGTCCATCGCTATAACGAAAAGTGCATAAAACACAATATAATTTTATCTGATATTTTCACTGTGGTGAAAGAGAGTCTCGCTATAGTGATAGTCTCTCACTGTAGCGAGAATTAACTCGCTGTAGCGAGGAGTATTACGAGTAATCACTCGCTGTAGTGAGAAAGACTCGTTGTAGCGAGAATGTCGTGATTCTCAGAGAATTTAAGAATTTTTCTGCATAAAAAATCATATTTCCTACCATTTTCATGTTCCATTTGATTTCTCTCAACCTTCACCACTCCTTTTCAGATAAAACTTCTCAAAACCTTGATTATTCTTCGAATTTAAGATCATAGAATCATTCTACACGATTCTAAGTAAGTTTTTCTGAGTTTAATCATGTTTTTACCATTCATTTTTTTTAAATCTCGTTCTTAAGAGACAAATTCGTGTTAGCTAGATAGAAGTGCTATCTTATGACGTTCTTTATCATCAACCTTCATTTAGATCTTCATTATAAGGTAAGGGAAGCTCTATTTTATCATTGTATGATGTGAGTTATATGTTGAGTTCATGAGAGCATGTTTATATACAAATATTGATGATGTATGTATGAGTAATGAGTATTAATGAAGAAAGATTGTTAATATGTATATGTTTGATAGTTTGGTTGACTGATTCTACTGTGAACATATGAAATATATGATAAAAAGCATAACATTATAATTGAATAAGTTTGATGAATGTATTGGATGTGATATGACCTTATTGCTGAAATATGTTTGAAAATGATGAATATGTCATCGATAAATTGTTTAATGATATAATTATTCAGATCATGAGTCAATGATAAACAATATGAAATTAGTCTGGAAATGCTATTAAACACGATTTCATGATTGGAATGTGGAATGAATATGAGTACTGAATGAATTGGTGTAAATAGTTACAAAGATACACTGGGAGTATAGAGTTCAAAGATGATAAGAAAATCTTGAAAAAATGTAGGGTGGTGAGCGACATTCGCGATTATGCACATATTATTGTTAAGTGCGAATATGCTCCATGGCCTCACACTCGTTTTTTTACTAAACTTCTGACTATACCTTTACTAAGAGACTCGTGATTCCATACATTGTATCCGTATTGCATGAGCTAACCGACAACTATTTACATGATTGAGTAAGACCTCGAGAACTGCTGGAGGCATCGAATAACTGTGATTACAATGTACTTAAGTGCGAATTTGAGAATGGAAGTGCCAATGTAATTGTGTGAATGTGAGTGATGAATGAGATATATATAATGTGAGGTAATATGATACAAATTATCATCTAATTGAATAATCATGATGTTGTTATGAAAATGTTATGATATCTTTACATTGTATTGAAAAATAGGATAGATGCTTACCCTTACACCATCCTGCAGGTAGTAAAGATGACAACTCATCCCATGCGAGTTGATGTAGTAGATATCTTTGCTAGTAGTAAATTAAACTATTTTTTTTAGAATATAAACATGTAATGCATCTATATTTTAGGGTACATTTTGAGGAAAATAAAGAGTGCATATTAGAAGTAGTCTATAATTATGCAGTTTCTCTTGATTTTCAACTAGTGGTCAAATTCATCAATCTCTAAGTTTTCATTTTCTCTTTGCTAACTTAGATTTTTGGATCTAGTATGAGTTAATGTCTTAAAAAAGTTACTTTACTCTTGAATCATTTCATAATCTTAATTTAGAATAATTACTTAAATATCTTTCCAACCAATTAGTAAAACAATAAAATTAATATTAATTTTTTAAATAAAAAATCACAAAGTATCCCCGAAGTTAAAAGGCTCATATCTAATTTTTATTTATAATTTATAAATAAAACTGTTTGAATCAAAGAATTTAAATACAGAAGTTCTCACGAAATAAATTGACCTGAAACGTATGAATGTAATGAGCCGTGACTCAACCATTCAACTTTTATAAACGAAATTATTTTAATGACACATTTAAGTGCAAATTAGATTTTTCTTAAATTTTCTTAACTATCTTTTATAACTATATTATTTTGTTCCTCAAAAACTAAATTATTTTGGATCAAACAGCTACTTTAATTGGGAATGTCAAACGAAATCGAACGTCGTTTCTACCTTCCTCAAATAATGTCCACCCCACATAACAACAAACATTAAACTAAACCCCATTTTAAAAAATAACATCGATTAGCATTGGAAAACACAAACGAGATGGGGTCCACATAGACGAATCTAAAGTTATTCCTATGTTTCTTGGTATCGTAACAACGTTTAATCGTATGATCTACTATGATATGTCTGGTCTGGGCAGTGCCGTGGCTTTCACGTGGTAAGCAAGAGAGTTGCCCTAAGTCTCGAATCGTCCTCAAATATATTTTTTATATTCTTAAAGAATTATTATATTATATATTTATTGTATTATTTTTATTAATAGAGTTACATAATTTAAAAATCAAGTTTTTAATATACATTCAATGACATAAAATTAAAAAATAATAAATAATATCTTTTTATTAAAGTATAATATTCAATGTTATTATACTTTTTAAATAAAAATTATATATTTAAATTTTTATTTCGTTTGCTTAAACCTATATTTAAAAAAATCGTTTTAAACTATGTATATAATTTTTAATACTTTAAAATATTTTATTATTTATTTAAAATTTATAGGAAACATATTTTAATGTTTTCTTTGATGATAATAATTATTATGTATTATTTGTTATGAATAAAACTTTATAATTCCTTAATTATAAAAGCAACTAAATAAGTTTTTCTTCTAATAATTTTGATTAAGGTTTAAAAGATTTTAAACACGGTCCTCGATTTGGGATTGGTAATTAAAAAGAGAAACTAAGAAGAGATATTACAAAGAGAGAGTGATTCATTGAATCCTATTTCTAACAAAAAATAATCTGAGGCACAAAATTGTGGAGTTCAAAGCATAGAAGCCCGCTTCCACCGTTAGACCCTATTCACACGCTCTCTTTCTCGATTCTATTGCACTGTCTACCATAGCAAAGACACACAACAATGACACACAAACTACATGGTCTTTCTCTTCTGTCAACAACCACAACTACTACACTATACCAACATCAATCTTTTCTTCTCATTGTTGCTATGTTGAGCTAATAGGCAACATGGATCTCCTCGTTTCTCTTCTCAATTGGGTCTTCAACATATTAGCAAAATGTTAATCTATATATAGCTAGTAATCACTCATCACATATATGGTTGTTGATTTCAATAAATGATGAATTATGCCATTAATGTTATCTATAGACTAATCACTTGTTGAGGTTCATGTTGTGTGTGATCACATCTTAATCTCTTGGTTTTGGTTCCTTTCTTCTTTGTCTTTGTAGTGTGTGCATTTTCTCTCATGCTATTGCAAAGCTAATTAAACCCTGGTTATGATTGTGTCAAATAGAGAAGTGGGGTGTTGAAATAGTAGCTGTTGGCGTCCTATGACAATGGCTGAGAGAAATGTGGCATGTTCATTCAAGGTTGTTTCTAGAAAGTCATTGTTTTTCTTCTTTACAATGACATCAATTTTGTTTATCATGTCATGGTTCTATGTTCTGCGTTCCACTGATGGTCCTCATTTTATTGATAACAAGTTGCCCAATTCAAAGCTTTTATCTACCTTTGATAAGGGTCTGAAGCAAAATGTCGAGTCTTCTTTTGGGAACCGAGCAATTCTTGTGGATAGTGAAGATGTAGAAGAGACCAGTGAGACCAAAACTCCAAATGAGAAGGAAAATATAATAAAATATTATACAGGGAAACTATGCAGCAAAAATGATGATGTTGTTCTCAAGGTTTTCATGTATGATTTACCACCAGAGTTCCATTTTGGACTCTTGGATTGGAAACCAAGTGGGAATAGTGTTTGGCCTGATGTTAGAAATGACATACCTGGTTACCCTGGGGGCTTGAATTTGCAACATAGTATAGAGTTTTGGCTTACATTGGATATTCTTGCTTCAGAATTTCCTCATTCATCTAAGGCTAAGACTGCAATCAGAGTTAGAAACTCTAGTGATGCCGATGTTATATTTGTACCATTCTTTTCATCCTTGAGCTATAATCGGTACTCAAAAATTAACCCGCATGAGAAGAAGACTAGGAACATGGTCTTGCAAGAGAAGTTAGTGAAGTATTTGAAAGCTCAAGAGGAATGGAAGAGATCAGGAGGAAAGGATCATTTGATTTTAGCTCATCATCCCAATAGTATGTTGGATGCAAGAATGAAGTTATGGCCTGCTACATTCATTCTTTCAGATTTTGGTAGATATCCTCCAAACATAGCTAATGTTGAAAAGGATGTGATTGCTCCTTATAAACATTTAATCAGTTCCTATGTCAATGACAACTCGGACTTTGATAGCCGCCCAACATTGCTGTACTTCCAAGGAGCTATATATAGAAAAGATGTATGGTCCTCTTGATCTTTAATATCTTTGTTTCCTTCACATCTTTTATCTTTGGAGAGAATATAATTATTCTGCATTTACTTCCAGAAATTTTTTAAATTAGAGAACACTTCACTTTTTCTATTATAATTGAACAATGCTCAAAGGGGCCTAATGGGGTCCCTATTCTGAAGGAGCCACTAGATAGGAATCTAAAATGATGAGTTATCTTTGATGACTTTTGATCATTTCTTGGGGGTCTGCCACATTTCTCCTGTTTCTCTACAGAGGTTATTTATCCATAGTATTGAGCCTAAGAAGGAAGCAAGATAAGCTATAGTTATTTATGTGGCTCAACGTTTCTGAAATTGGTGACATTTAAACCCTTGAGTTTCTGTGAAACAAAGTTGATTGAACATTAGTTCATTGTCAAGAAGTATGTTTTTGTTAGATATTTGTTTGATTCTTCATGCTTTCAATATATCTGTTAATGATTATATGTTTGCTCAAATAAGTTTAGCACAGTAAGATGAACCTTTCCTATGTGAATTTTGGATGTAACAATCACATGGCCTTTTCTTTCTGGGGTTTCCATCTTAGTTGCACAATGTTATGTAGATGATTGATTGTCTGAGCTCTCTAAGGAAGAATTAAAATAGGGAGAGTTGTGAATTGTGATTTTATTGATCTAACTAGAAAATTAATGTAGTTTAGCTAGTAAACCACTTCCATCATTTGTATGTGAAATTTTATTCCGAGTGAAAACTAAGTACAATTATTGTGGTTTTCATCACTTGATTATTTCCTGAAGTTATCAGGAATTATTGTCTGGCTTTTATCTTATGTAATTTCAGAATTTTATCAATTACTTCCTCTGGTTTCATTTTGTACCCAAGGTCCAAATTGAACATTATCTCACTTATAGAAGCATATCTGATGAAAAAATTTCAATATTTTTCAAATTCACCATATATTTCCTTTCTTGGACGTTTGTGTGTGTGTGTGTGTATATTTGTTTAGAAAATTAATTGTGCTTAGCTTGAATTTTTGTTTTCATATGATCAGGGAGGTTTGGCAAGGCAAGAACTATTCTATCTTTTGAAAAATGAAAAGGATGTACATTTTTCCTTTGGAAGCATTCAGAAAGATGGAATTAAGAAAGCAACAGAAGGCATGCGTGCTTCCAAGTTCTGCCTCAACGTAGCTGGTGACACCCCTTCATCAAATCGCTTGTTTGATGCAATTGCTAGTCACTGTGTTCCTGTCATCATCAGTGATCAAATTGAGCTACCATATGAAGATGTCCTTGATTACTCTCAGTTTTGCATATTTGTTCGTATTAGTGATGCCATCAGAGAAAATTATCTGATAAACTTCATAAGGGGTATTGGCAAAGAAGAATGGACCCAAATGTGGAACAAGTTGAAACAGGTTGAACATTTCTTTGAATTTCATTTCCCTTCTAAGGAAAATGATGCTGTCCAAATGATTTGGCAAGCTGTTGCACGTAAAGTTCCTGCTATAAAATTGAAGGTAAATAGGTCTAGGAGATTTTCTAAGTCGCCTCCAAGCATAGACAATGGACTAAAATCAATACCTGCACCAAGGAATTTTTGGTAAAAATGATAATACATACTAGACTTCGGATATGAAAAATGTCATAATGTTTTTACCTTTAGAAATGTGCGAATATTCTTATATTTTGACACTGATATAGTAACATTTTTTCTTATTATAAAGTTTTTTTCACTGTCACTTTATTGTTCTTACCAGAAATTTGTGATGATGACTTCTTTTGTATATCATTTTTCATTTTTCAACCCATTTCAATAAGTAACATTTCACAGCACGAACAAGCAATATGTCTCCCTATCTGGTTCTGATTTGTGTTCCAATATATTTGTATACTTAGATATACTAGATGTGGAGAAGGATCTTTATGCTTTAGATTTTTTGTTTTGTGAGATCAGGTTCTTGCTATCATTTTTTACAATTAATGATGTAATTTTTTAGACTTTTGGCATATTGAATTGACTTCATCGCTCCTCTTAAAGTTCCCATATTGGTTAGGTATGTGAGTATCTCGATTACAAATTAAATTGGGGCACATGGAAATATCAGTTCATGAAAACATGTGATATGTGTAAGAAGAACGGTAATAAAATACTTTTAAACTCCTATCTATCTTTGTATATTAGAAGTAATTTTATTTTGTATATATTATATGACTTCTAAATTAAGTATTTAATAATTTTAGTTAATTTTATAATTAAAATTCCTTTTTTTTTTTGGTAATTTTACTTTGATTAATTTTTAGAGTGTAATATTCCACATATAAATTTAAATTTGAACAATACGAGTATGTTTTTATTTCACATAATTGATAATATTTTTTTATACTTTTAAGTTTGAATAAAGTAAATATGATATATATATATATATATATGTATGTATATATATTAACCTTTAATATTTTTTTTGTTTTATAATACTATATAAGACTTCTATTCAACTAGTATGTATTTATTAAACATTCAAAACTTAAATTAAATAAATACTACTTAAATATTATAAATTTTAATACACTAATAATATTAAACGTTATAATTTTAAATAAAAATTTAATATTTATTTATTTATTTATTATATACAATAAAAAAAAATCAAATTATGCTTTCCCCATGATAAAACTAAATACATGCTCTCCTTTTCTGCCATCACTGGTCCACATGCTTAGCCTAATACGGAGGCCAATTCAATGCTATGGAGTCGTAGTAAGAAGCCCACTCTTTTTCTTGTGCATCATAACCTTGATGTTGAATAACGAGAGAAAGACTTGGCCAAAAAATAATAGAGAGAGAGAGAGAGAGAGAGAGAGAGAGAGAGAGAGAGAGAGAGATGAATGATTTTAGCAAATGGCAGAATTTAAATTGCATTGAAGGCAGTGGGATCACACAGTAATTGGTAATAATCATAATGTATAATTGTATACTTCTTCATTATTTTTATCTATCATTTTAAAAGTTTAAGAAAATATTTATTGTCTTTTTCTGTTATACTCTTGTTATTTTTATAAAATTTTTAATTATTTTACATATTTACCATAAGATAGATAATTAATTATTGTACAGTCCAAAAATTAATAAAATCAAATCATAAATTCTTTATAACTTACTTGCACATTAATCTATAAAATATATATTTTTTCTGATACTAGAACTTAATGAATAGGATTAATAAATAAAAAAGAAGTTAATTTATTGGAGAATAGAAAGGTAAAATTACAAACCTAGATAAATTTTTTTATATAAATTACAACATTAATTAATTTTCTCAAATTGTGTGAAACAATCTCAAATTATATTGAGAGAGCAGTAAATAAAAAAATGCTATCAAGTACTCTTACGCTACTAATTAAAGAATTAAAAATAATTATTATTAAAAATAAAACATATTATTTTTACAATTTTGAATATATTCTAATAGTTTTTAATAAAAATAATTATTTATTGATTTGTTAATTAATGTCCTGTAACAAGACCTCTAATATATAGTCTCATAGAGTCTTTGCCTTAAAACTCGTGTATAACTTGATTTAGGTATAATTTGAATAAATTTTTAAAGTTTTTATCTTCTCAAATGAATGATAAAATAAGAGAAGTTAAATAAGAGAATTTTTTAAAAATAAAAAATATAAATTATTTTTATTATAAAATAAAATTTATTTATTTTTATTAGATTTATTTTTTTTTATAAAGATTTTATCCAAACTAACTCTTAATTATTATTATTATTTTTTCTTGACTCAATTATAAAGCAGCACAAGTCAGTGTTGTTTTTCTTACGATGTTAGATGTTATTTATAAAGTGCCTCTCATTTAATAAGTGACGTATCACTTGAAAAAGATATCAAACAATAATAGAAAAAGCATTAAGTGATAGGATTTTCTTAACAAAAATTACACTAATAATGCATAGGCATTGTGTGAGAGTTTATTTAATGTATGATACATTAATAATATATATCTATATATTTTTTAATATTAACATAATTGTCTATTTTAGTATAATGCATTATGACATTAGTATAAAGTAAAAATATATTTATATTAATAGTTGAATTTTGAGTAAAATAAAATTTATATTAATGAAGACAAACTTAACGCATTCTTTTTAAAATATACGTATGTTGAAGCTTCACATAGTGAGGATAATTACAAGTGGGAGTAAGTTTCTCACTCTTATCTAATGTGAGCCATGCAATGCAAGATATGAATGATAATATCTTCATGGATTGTGCAAACAAGTTTTGTGGATCATATAATGAGAAACCTAACCTATTGAGAACTCTTTAAAACGTATATAGAGGGCAAAATTTATTGGGATCCTATAGGGAGCAAAGGAAGATGACCATAAAAGATGCACTCCGTACACACTTGTGTCTCCAATTAACCATTGCCATAAGCATGTTTGGTCACCTTTGAACTTTAAATTCAAAGCAACACTACCCTCGAGATGGTTATGTTCCACCAAACTCCTAAAGAGACTGAAGGAAATTTCAAAATCGAGCTCTTTTCTTCCCCAATAGTCCTAAGTCTTCTTTCAATTTTGACAATACAAAATTAAAAAAAAAAATTACAGAAATTTTTATTTTTTTATAGTAAAAATTGACGAGGTTTGTTTAATCAATAATTTAAGACAAAATTATTCATGTCACATTCTCATTACTGATCATTTTAATATGCTATTATTTAAAGCTTCTTAATATATAATCATGTGATAGAGTTTAATTTCATTAATATACTAATCTCAGCATATTATATATTTTTTAAAATATAAATTTTATTGATAACTCAATGTTTTATTATAAAGTATAATATATATATATATATATATATATATATGGAATGATATTTTCACACTAATATAAATTTAAAAATTTTTATATTCTAATTTTAATTTTTTATTTAATTTGTATTTAACACAAGTGAAGTTATAAATTATAATTTATTAGATATAAATTAAATGAAATATTCAAATTAAATGTATCAGTTTTTAAACTTGTGAGTAGATCTTCTATATATAAATTAAAATTAAGATTGACATTTCATTTTACAATTATAAATATAAAGATATAACATACGTTTGTGTATATATATAAAAGGAGGAGGAACTTTGATCCATTAGATGAAATGGATGTTGGGGATGGACGCATAATTATTTATTGTGATATTTAAAGTGTAAAATTACTTTGAATAAAAAATCCCATATGCATTTGTGAGTTTTTGTGTGCATACTTTTGTACTGATTGACATTTTTCTCACTCAAATTGAAAAAGAAAAAAGTGGAAAAGATAGCTGTACATTTGAAATGGCTTAAAAACTGCAACGAGGACACACATCATTGGTGTACTTAGATATATCTGTCATGCAAAATATGTGGGAAATGAAGGCCAACTGTCTCAGTCTTTTCCCAGATGACAGAGACTCACAATTTCATCGTATGGTAGAAACTAATTAATGATGTTCAATAATAAATCTTCACTATTGAGTTATACATAAAATCAAACCTCAGAGGCTAAGTGCATTTATTGCCACCTCCAGTTTGGTGGATTGGCCGTGTTATTAATATGTTTGTAATAATGGTATGTCTATTCTCGATAATATTATACATAATAACAATTTATATACAGTATAATATATTTTTGTTAAAAATTATAGCATATAATCATTTTAATATATTAAATTATATTAAATTTTGCAATTTGTAATAAAATGTTATGATATATGGATTTTTATTATATGCATTGTTGTACAATTAGAAAAGCTCTTGTAATAAAATAATAATGTGTTTTTAACATATTTTTATTTTATTACAAGCATTTTTAAAAATATATATTTTTAATTATATTAAAATAAGAATATGTTTTAATGTATAGTTTAAATAAATATTTTGATTGAGCTGTGTTTAATACTTAGAAGATGAGCTTTATCACTCAGAGTGATCTTTTCTAGCTATAAAAAAAAGAACTATGGCTATGGCTGCAAATTACTATTTATTAGCCGTGTAAGGAGGCAACGTGGAAAAGTCAGATATACATCCCAACAAAGCACAATGAAGCAACACCCCACTGTACCCAAGTCCTATACATTTCATTCAATTTTCAGTCTTTTTCAAATGAACCATCTTATATATGCTCATTTTGCTCGACCCCTACACGATATCCTTTTTATGTAGTTCCACATTTTGAGAAAATTGCTATCACTTATAAGGTACAATAGTATCACTTACAAAAAAGTGCTTAAAACAGGTAAAATTTATTTTTTTATTTTTTAGGTTTTAAACGGATTTTTGCAAGCTTAACTCACATCAAGTTGAAAAAGTCAAATTTAATTTGAATTAAAATTTTAAAGTCCTAACCCTACATTTATCTAACAAGTTTGAATCATTTTAGTTAAGCTTATCCATTTTACTAACTTTATAAGGGACTCGTATATATCCATTTTAATTTTTTTATGTATTCAAATTACTTATACAAACATAAAATTATCTTATAGTATGTTACATAGTAGTGATGATATGTAGAAATCAAAAATAGCAACAACAAAAAAATGTAGAACATTAACTAATTTTTATATTATTAATTTAATTTTTGTCAGAAGTATATTATATTCATAAAAGCAAATCCAACTCCAATTAAATTTTCATTTGTTGATGTTAATTTATTAGCAAAATGTATTTTTATTTTGAAGATAAACGTAGGTTACTACTTACTACTGCAATAGAATCGATTTGTTCTCTTTGTATGGTGTTGTTATGTGTCATATATTGATGATGATTATTGTCAAACTTCTTTTTATGATCATGTTGTTAAAGAGATTACTGACATATGTAAAATTATAATTGTAGAAAAAATATATACTAAATAAACATAATATTAGTTCCTATAACTATTTTATCATTGTTTAGATTAATTTGTTGAAGAATGATTTTGTTAAAATTAATTTGCAATAATATAAAATTTAAAACTTCATATAAAATTAAGATAACATGTGAAGATAAAAAACTATAATCCGTGAAGATGTTAATTTTAAGACAGCTGCTAGATTTTTTATTTTTTATTTTTGAAAATAATATTTTTATTATAAATGTATAAAATTTTCTTTTACAAATTAAGGAAATATAAGAAGAGAAAAAAAGATATACTGAATAATGTGATGATGAAGGAAGATAAAATAAAATAAAATATTTATAAAAATAATATAACTCAATTAATTTTGGAATTATTAAATGATGCTTCTCATATATAGTTGTCCACCGTCAATCCCAACATGACGCATTTAGTCGCAAAAATGGCTGTATTAACTACTACCTTAAAGTCAAGCTACCCTATGAAATTTTATCATCATCAAATTATTGATAATACTAGTTTAAAGATCGTCAAATGCTCATGTAGTTTATTTTTAAATGAATTTTATCTAAAATGTTATTTTTTTGACTTTGTTACTTCAATAAACATTTTCTTAAAAATTATTAAACTTAATTAAATGAAATGACAATAATATTTTCCCATTTCTTTGTAGTGTGAAATTTATATACATATATGCATCCATGAGGATTAGCAATGGTGGCCACTTTCACACACCGAAAGGTGAAAGAAGATCAAATGCTTCCATTCAAAATTTTTCTAAAAGGGAAAGGACTTTGAAACACCCATTTACCTTATTTTGCTAGCAAGACTTTCGTGATACCGTGTGTTTTACTCATATATGCCTATCTTCCCCTCTTTTCTAGAACTCAGCTTTTGCTTAATTAGTATAATTCATTTCGTGTTCTCATCTTATAACTAAACATCAAAATATTTGGTGTTTAACGTATGGATCGATTAAAAAAATTGTCTTTTATTGACATTTTAACATTAAATTAGCCTCTATGAAATAAATTATTAGTACTAATAATACGAATTTACAATATAATAATAATAGGACCTATTACATTAATATAATTTTATTAGTATTATACATATATATATTATCAATATATTAAATGTTAGTATAAAATGCATTATCTGTTGTTTTAAAATCTATTTTAATAATTCAAAATTTGTTAGATAAAGCTTATATTGATCAAAATTATTAAATTTAGTTTAATAATAAATAATTTTTTTTTTGTAGTGTAGCATGCGCCTTGATGACAAATTGATGCCTATTATTGTCATTGTTGCCCATATCTTTGTCACAAATTCAAATGCCTTTTATCTGAACTATTGATAGAAAAATATAACGTTGACAATAACAAATAGACATGGCTGGTTTAGTAGATTTAATGATTTTAGTAATATTGAAGTCATGATTTAATCTATAATAAACCAAAAAGTTAGCCAATAAAGTTAATTGACGACAACATCAAGGACATTTTGTATCAGTTACCTTGTACAGTTGCTCACTTTGGTCACGTCATATTTCCATTTTACATTCAATTATTGACTAAGAATATACAATATACAGTAAAAATAATTATTTCTCAATAACACAAAAATTTATCCTAAAAAGTCAGAATAAACGTTTTTCTAATACAAACAATGTCTTCCATTGAATTCCTTCTATTTTCCGCTTTTATTTATCAATACATACAATTCATTAAACGTTAATTATGAATCTTAAATGGGTACTGAAAAAGGAAATGCAATACAGTAAGCTTGGGAAGTTTATTTAAACTAACTGTGCCTCCTTTTGCAATATTTTGAATATATTGCTTACTATACATAAGTGATGAACTTTTGTGTGTAGTTTTCTACAAGGCATAGGTGCAAGACGCACTAAACTTACTTAAGATAATCAAATTGTTCATCCACTTTATGTTACATGTTGAAAGATCCCAACTTCTCAGAACCTCAACATTTATACAGGAACCAAATAAACCCTAGTATTGTAAAGGATTTTCCTTATTTTATTTTATTTTTTCCTCAACTAATCATGTTTTGAGTTGTCATATCCCAAACATAGGGATTGGTGATTGCATTACACCCTTAGAACATTGGAGACAGTTCCACAATCTCCTCTACCTGAGCAACATTTTCATCCAACAACCACTTCTCAAGAATTGACAATGGAGGAGCATTAATATTGTCAAATCTTTGTCTATTTTTATCCGCCATAACTTGAACCTTATCTTCAGCACATTCTTCAGAATCTCTTTCAGGCATTGAATCACAAGTGGACTTGTCCCAAGCAGCATTATTGTTTTGGTTCTCAAATGACAAAATAGAATCAAACTCTTCATGTGGCACTATATCTCCACCCTCTTTCTCATCTTTGGTTTGGTTGGAGCAGCACTCTATGTTTAAAGTAGGCACAGTTGAAGACTTCACTAGTTTATTGTTTTCACAATCATTATAGCTTGGATGCTCTATGTTTTGGGTTCCTTTGGACATTGGAGAAGATCTCATCCAACCCTCTAAGAGTCTTGAGATGTTCTCACTGCTTGAGGCATAGGTGGAAGATGAGGCATGGTTGCTATTGAGATTTAATCTATCATTAAAAATCTTGGATACATGGTGACCAGTGGTTGTTGTTGTGTCTGATCCAACGTGGGGGTCCAACACTCCTTGAAAATTCTTCAATTTCTTCTTTAGATGAGTGTTCCAATAATTCTTTATATCGTTGTCTGTTCTTTGTGGAAGGTAACAAGCTATGGCTGCCCATCTGCTCATCAACCAATAACTAATTCCATGAATTCATATATACCATTTAATTAAAATAATTAAATTAATAAATTGGAAAAAAGTAATTTATTAATTTTGATAAAATTTGAAAAGGACTTGACCTCTCATATATGTGGCTGTAAAGATTGTAGTATGTTTCATGCGGATTCAATAAAGGCAGATTTCTTTCATCACTTATATCTTTTTCATATTTTTTGAGAAAAAAACAAGGCATCTGACAATTACTTGTTACCCAGTAGAGCTTGCAAATGAATTATCATGCCTTCCTCTTGAGTAGTGAAGTTCCCCCTCTTGATTCCTGGCCTGAGGTAGTTCGTCCATCTAAGCCTGCAACTTTTACTGCATCTTGACAACCCTTTTCATCCACCAAAAGGAAAAATGTTTGATTTTTCAGTTTATTTAAAAAAAATTTAATTAATTTCAAAGAAAAAGCGTGCGTGTGTGTGTGTATATATATATATATATATATATATATATATATATATATATATATATATATATATATATATATATATATATATATATATATATATATATAAGGGGAGAGAGAGAGAGAGAAGATTAACAAAGATTAACAAACCAATATCATATTATACACATCAGTTTTCAAATATATAGACAAAACTATGTATATTTATATGGTGGCCTTTGAGAGCTTATACATGAACATAAAATTAATTTTTGAAGTCTTTGGATAAAATAAATAAATTAGATGAATAATTTACCAGTATTAGTTGGCACTGATCTCCAATTTCCTGGGCCATGTTCTTGGATGTAAGAGACAAGGATGATATCCTCTTCTGGTGTCCATGGACCCTTCTTGATGCCTACTTTGTCACAACAAGGAGGCCTCACCATGGCTTCAATACACCCTCACCTTTTACCTCAATACTCCATCACTTCTTTGCTTTAGACAAAGCTTTCTATGGAGTTTTCAAATAGTACCAATTCATGTCAGTGCTTAATTTATATTCAAAAGACTTTGAAAGAAAGGGAACACTTATGTTTGCACTCAGTGATGTAACTTGCCGAGTCACCTCAACCCTATTTACTCATTTTAACTTTATTATGCAGCCAATACAGAAACCAAAGTCAACGGAGAGTTTCAACATTTTTTCTTTGCCCTTTATGGGTCACGTGGCTCGCCATGCTCTTGTCACCAAAGGTATAGAAAATTTCATTTTCCTGGCCTTGATTTTCTTTATTCAGGTAACAATTTGGTTGATAATCCATCAAGTCAGCACATAACTCTTATTTAATTTTTGGTTAATTTAATCTGTAGGTGTCTGAAATATTATCGGGAGATTGTAAAATAAGTTTATGCTTTTAAAGTTTATAATTGAAGTCTCTGAATTCGAATTTTGTACTTACCAAAAACCTATGAACTAAAGGAGAGACCAGTTAAAAATTATTTCAAAATTTAAAGACCTATTTACAAACTTTTAAAATATAGTTATTTATATAATTTTTTAAAAATAATTTGGAGAAGTAGTAATTAATAATTTAACTTTATTTATTCTATTAAATCGTTTGTCGTTTGCATGGGATCCTTAATTATAATCTGTCGACACTAATCTGCCAAATTAAATTTATACATAAATTTGGTAGACATCACATAATTGAGGATTCAAAGAAAATTATATATCTTTTAAATATGTTCTTTTGATTTATTAAAATTAAAGGACATGAACAACCAATCATAAGATTGAAAGCAATTATGACATGAGTTTTCAACAAATGGCCATGTTTTTGGCTTTGTTTTCCGCAACAAACAGCCAAATTCAATATCTGGTATTGCTAAAATTTTGTGAAACTGATACAATAAGCGAAGGGGTCAGGTGAAAAAGCTTGCATAGTTTCTAGAAACAATTTACAATTTCTACAAAGAACTTTTAAATTTATTTTATATATTTTTAGTACAATTTGATATTAAGAAATGTTATTTTTAACTTATCCCAATAAGTTTTATAGTTAAAATATGGTATAAGTTATTATATAAAAGCATTTAATAAATAAACATTTAATTAAAGTGTGCATTCAAACAAATCTGATAGTTTGATAATTTCAGTAAAAGATTTTTCCAATGTTGCGAAGTCAATCACTAAGGCTTGGGGGATTTTGTAGAATGTTGAAGGGGATGAAAGACAATTTTGGGTTATGCAGAATTGGTATTTAATTTTAATTTGTGTTTGTATTTGTCAGCTTGTAAAGACAGATTCACCTTTCAGGCAATTAATTAATACATATGAAGATAGTTAAGGGTATGTGTGAAGGACCACTGCATCTCACATCCCATAATTGTGTCCAATTTCTGGGTATTCTGTTACGTTTATGGGGTTTTTCTAGTGAAAAAAGGTTCACTAAAGCAAGAACAAAAATAATTAAAGATGGTTTAAAATTGACTTTATTTATGTTAATCATAAAGATCCTAATTAAATAACTTTTCAAGTTTTCATTACTCAACTAATAATGGATATTACCAGCTCGAGCAGGACAATAGAATATATCAACGATCTAAACAAAATAAATAAATAAATGATATGAACAGAAATTTTGTTAGTGATGCTTTCTACAACTATGGACACATCGATCTCTTATACTACCATGGTTTCAATTTTATAGACGACTATTATTGCTGAAGGAAAGAAAAACAGATAACTGTTAAAACATACTTATAATTTCATTTATATAATTTATTAATTTCTCCAATAACATTCACTCAAAAAAAAGCTAATAATATATAGTTATAGATTAAACATTTCCAACATGACCATCGATATATAATTTAATAAATTTACATAATAGTCTTTTTACAGTGCGAATATTCTATATCAAATTAGGACTATAAATAACCCCTTTGCTTTAATTCAATTTTGACTTTTTCACACGTTAACATTATTTTCTTAATGAAATTACACAAACTTTTGAGGTTTGGTGAAAGTCACAAATATTATATTCTATTTTGTTTTAACAATTAACAAAAGAAGAATAAATATATCGTTTTATGCACTACAATAATATTTTTTCTTATTTTTTTTATAAGAAATAAATAACTAAATCATCAAAACTAAAAACAAAAAATTAAGTATGTTATATTTTTTATAAATATAAATTTTATTTTAAAAATACACATAGTTAGTAATTTATATATTTAACGATATTAATAAAAAAGATATAAAATATTTAACAATTAATATATCTTGAATATATTATTTGTTTGTTATAATAAGAATAAAAAATTGTTTCATCTTGTTTCTTATAAAAAAGATCAGAGGAAATAATTTATATTAACTTAATTCCTTGAAATATATATATTTATACACTTTATTTTTAAATTTGTTTATGACAAATCAGTCTTTGGGTTGTGAAGTTAATAAATTAGGGACTAGTTACAATGAAAGAACTGATTCATACTTATCATGGTAACAAAATTTAAAAACTAAATTATATATACTCGTAAATATTTAGGAATAAACCAACATATATTATAAGTTTTAGATAAATTATGAGTAAAATTAATACTTTAATGTTTTAACTTTTTTCCCGGTTTTTTTAATAACAATTTTGTTGTACCTAGCAGACCTTTCTTTGATTTTGTTTCCCAAAGATCAAATTATGCAAGTAATTAAGAGAAAAAAAATTGACACTTTATTCCTAAATAGATCATATAAAACCTTCACACCATTCTTTCTTCTTTCACGCTGCACATCTACCTCTGTTCTATCACTTTAAGTTCCACCTTCTCACGAGTACTTGAAGCTTAGATCTTCATATTCTACACTGTCCAGGTTTCAAAGAAAATTAATGCATGTGTTTCATGCCATTCTTAAGTTTCAAATCTTGACTAAGACCAATTTTATTAAACTTGTTAACAAACACTTGTAGAAGAGGTAAAAATAAATTAATTTTTTTCTAAAAATTAAAATCAAATTACATATCTCATCATTTTGAAAAGTTTGAAAAAATAACTTTTGAAAGGTATAGTGTATAATCGATTTTAATATATGATAAAAGTTTAAGTTAATTTATCTTTTCAATAAATACTTGATATCTTATCTAAATTCCATCAAAACATACTCATCTAATGATTAATCTGTTTAAACTTCAACCCCTTTATAACATTTTTTACATTCAAGAACATGCTCATAGTTAACCTTACAGCAGTCTTATCTAGCTCACGATTAATACACACACTAGCCTTTTACATTTTGGATTTGGAGTCTTTATGATTACTGGTTAGGGTTGTTGAGCTTTAACACCAACATTTTAATGCAAAACCCAACGCCATAGGCTCCATATAATGATTGTGGCCCACTTCTACTGTGATTACGTAATGTTTCCACGTTCCACACAATAAACAGTATTTATTTCTTAGTTTGCATATCGTGAAAGTGCCAGCACATACCTTATATAACACATCTAAAATTTAAATATAATATAACATTAAATAAATAAATTTGTTAATAGTGAGCCAGAAAAGAGTACTATAAACTGTATTTTTAAATTTGAACTAAAAATTACGTACGCTGTATTGTAACAATCTTATACAAGTTGATTTATAATAATAATCATAAAAAATAAAAATAATAAATCATTGTTGATAAGTTATTAATTAATGGAGTGCCAATTAGGACAGTATGGGTGGATTCATAACTCATGAAAGAGAACACACTTGAGGAACAATGTATTGTAATAATGTGCAGTGCGAGTTCACTAGCATCATATGTTGTAAGTGTAGAAAATGATTGAATATGAAGCAAGAATATAAACAAAGAAAAAAAGTGAATATCAAGCAAAAATATAAACAAGAAAAAAAAAAAAAAACTGTTGTCATTTGTTCAAGAATGTTACCAACAGATTCAAGCATGAGGAGAAGAAATAATATATCAAACACCATAGATTCAAGCAAGATGGAAGGCTTAAAAATTCACACTAACATCCCTTTTTTCCTTCTTATACTGCCTTTTTTTTAATTTGTTTGATTTTACTCTCAAAATGAAAATTCAAAACAAAGTTTTCACTCCTCTCTTAAAACAAGTTATTTTGCATTTTTTATTTTTTATATTTTTCTAGTCAAAAGAAGAAATAAGGGTGATCATGGGTGAGGTATGCTTTATCAATCTAACCATCTCAATTCAAATAAAACTTAAAATACGAATAATCAGGTATAGTAGATTTTCAAAAGAATGAATATGATCATTTTGAGTCATGTAGACTTTTTTCTTTTTACAACTTGATAAACTTAACCCAACTTTATATAAATAAATGTATAATATAATATTTATATTTTAATAATTTAATGGGTTTTTATATGTTAATATATTATTAAATGTGATTTGTTATAAATAATTTATTATTTATGTATTTTATATTTATCTATTTTGACTTTATATCATCTTTCAACATTCATACTTTTCAATTCCAGCTTCATTTTATCCTATATCATCTTAATCCCTTAAATCGATTTTGTTTGTGTATAGGAACAGGGAAAAAAAAAGAGAAACAAAAGGTACCCAAATAAAATAAAATAAAAGAAAAAAAGAGATTGAAAAGAGAAAAAAATAATGAAGAGAAGAAAAAAATAAAAATTCACAAAAAGAAAAACAAACTAGTTAATGAAAGATAAAAGGGAAGAAATGAGAATTAATCATAAACATAATTGTATAAGTGTTAACGAAATTCACTTGGGACAACTAATTTCGAAAGGTAAACGAAAATATGAATTAGGACAACGAAACACTAAAATTCCCAATTTAAACATCAATTAGAAAGTACTATAACGAAAAATTTAACAATCGTAAGTGTGAAACATGAATTGAAAAGAAGAAGAAAAAAAAGAAAAATTGGAAAGAGAACTCTACCAATGAGTGAAGCACGAAAAAGAGGAGAGAGAAAGTGATTGACAGCACTCTGCGACTAAACAAAACTCTAAAACTGTGACTGCTGCTCCAA